ATTTTTTGGTTGTAGTCGTCATTGTTGTTTGGCAGACCTGGACTGGGTTTGAACCCACCAGCTCTGGTGTATGTGGCTGGCGCCCTAGAGGCCGAGCTACAGGAGCCAAGCCCCATCCAGTTGTTTTTGATGGCAGCACTGTAGCTTTCATGCTGATTCAAGAACACAGTCACTACCAGTAGGAACAATGATACTTGCATACAAATTATGCCTTATACCAATTTCACTGGCAGACAAGAAGAGTAGACCATAAGAGTATTCCCACCCATGACAGTCTGAATCAGAACTCTGTTAAAGACATTAAAAACACTGAAAAAAAATATACTGGATAACTTTTGTCCTATTCTTTCAAATTTTTTTTTTAACTCTTCTTTCCATTCTCCTCAAATTTCCATTCTACACAGACAGATCTTTAATGTGGAATTTCTAGGAACATCTTTGGAAAGCTACACCTCTCAGAAAGTGAAAATGAAGAGTTCTTGAGGATACTTTTGGATGGGCAAGCCAAGGATTCAGGAAAATGTGTGTGAAACAGGTGTCTGTACAGCTCATATGAATCTGGTTGTCACCATGTATGGTGCCTCTAAAATGTGACCAATGCCTGCCTTGTGTCCACCTTTAAAATCTCATGTGAATGTGCTATTGGTGAATTGTATCATGGAATTATTAAACTCCACCCCTAGATTTTATTATCCTATCATAGATTTCTCAAATCAAAATTCAGTTATGTCATAGGGTCTTTCTATATTCTATTTTTTGGTGTTTGAAAGAAACTAAGCAAACTGAATGCTTTGAACATTCCTTATAATAATAGCATTTCTCTCATACATTAACAGTATGAGTTTTTTCATGTCTTTGACAGACACTGGAACAAATGAAGGCTTTCCCACATGTCTTACAGACATAGGGTTTCTCTCTCATGTGAATTCTTTCATGTACTCAAATGCATTTGGCAGACATAAAGGCTTTACTACAGTGCTTACATTCATAGGGCTTCTCTCCTGTGTGGGTCCTTTCATGATTTCGAAAGGAAGTTGAAGACCTGAAAGCTTTTCCACATTGCTTACATTCATAAGGTTTCTCTCCAGTGTGAGTCCTTTCATGTACTCGAATCCATTTGGCACATCTGAAGGCTTTACCACAGTGCCTACATACATAGGGCTTCTCTTCAGTGTGGGACCTTTTGTGATATTTACAGGAGGTAGAACAACTGAAGACTTTGCCACATTTTTTTACACTTATAGGGTTTTTCTCCAGTGTGAGTCCTTTCATGCTGATTAAAAGAATGGACACAACAGAATGCTTTCCCACATTGTTTGCATTCATAGGGTTTTTGTCCTGTGTGAGTCCTTTCATGAATATGAAGGCAACTGGGAAAATTGAATGCCTTCCCACATTCCTTACACTCATTTGGTTTCTCTCCAGTGTGAATTCTTTATGATATCGAAAGGAAGTGGAAGAAGTGAAGGTTTTACCACACTACTTACATTCATAGGGTTTCTCTCCTGTGTGAATCCTTTCATGTCTATGAAAGGAATGGACACAATGGAATGCATCCCCACAAAGCTTACATTCATAAGGTTTCTCTCCAGTGTGAGTCCTTTCATGTATTCGAATGAAACTGGAAGACCTGAAGGCTTTCCCACAGTACTTACATTTAAAGGGCTTCTCACCAGTGTGTATCTTTTCATGATATTGCAAAGAAGTAGAACTTGAGGCTTTGTCACACTGCTTACAGTCATAGGGTTTCTCTCCAGAGTGACTTCTTTCATGTTTTTGAAGCGAACCAGGACAGTGAAAGACTTTCCCACATATCTTACATTTATGAGGTCTATCTCCTGTGTGCATTCTCATGTGCCACTGAACGCTCCTCCGCTGAGCAAATGCCTTCCCACATTGCTCACATTCATAAGGTTTTTCTCCAGTGTGAGTCCTTTCATGTATACGAAAGGAACTGAAATGAATGAACACTTTCCCACACTCTTTACATTCATATGGCTTCTTTCCTGTGTGAGTTATTTCATGTCCTCATAAGGAATGGGAGGTATGGAAACCTTTACCACATTTTTTACATTTATATGGTTTCTCTCCAGTGTGAATTATTTCATGTTTCTGATAAAAACTGAGAAATGCAAATGCTTTTCCACAAAGCATACATTTATGAGGTCCATCTCCACTGTGCATTACCATGTTACTTTGAAAGCCTGCAATAGAAGTGAAGGTCCTTTCACATTCCTTACAATCATAGAGTTTCTTTGCAGTGGAAGACCCTTCATATGTTCCAAAGGAGTGGGAGTAACTGAAGGTTTTCTCACATTGCTTACGTGAATATGACTTCTGCCTACAATCCTTATACTCAGATGGCATGTATTCAGTGTCATGTCTAATGAGCCTATAAAAAGATGAATGATCAATGAAGACTTTTCCAAACACCTTGCTTTGACATGGTTTTAGTTCAGGTGGAGTTTTCTTGTTCACCATGTAATCTAAATCTTGACTCAAGATTTCTCCACACTGACTACTTTCTTTATTTTCAAAGAGTCTCTCCTCAATAAAACTTCTGTGGAAAATGAGAAGCACAATATTAAGGCTTTGTTTATAAATGATTTCTTATTTCATAGTAAGTATTGTACTTGCATTAAATTTTTTCTCACTCAGTTGCCCTTGGGTAGAGAGAGTGCTTTGGCATTATAGCTCACAGCAAACTCAAGACATCCTCTTGCCTCAGATCCTGGGTTCAAGAGATCCTCTTGCCTCAGACTCCTGAGTAGCTAGTTTTTCTATTTTTAATAGAGGGAGGATCTTGCTTTGCTCAAGCTGGTCTCCAACTCCTGAGCTCCGGTGATCTGCCCGCCTCTGCCCCTCTCCCAGAGGGCTAGGGTGGCTAGACATGAGTCTCCATGCCTGGACACATTTTTTTACCTTTCAAGGAAAATGGAGGCTTTCTGTACTGTATAAATTGTTGAACACGAATAAACCATGCTCTCCAAGATGGTTATTCTATACCAATCATAAAACAAATAATATTTTTATTTGGTTTCTTAAAATGGGGGTCATTACAGAATTTTCGACTTGCACAAAAATCAAAAAGCATAAAATTCACGTGGACAAAAACAAAAGAAGCCTTCCTGGTATCACCAATAAGGTAGGCAAAGAGAAACTTGCATAGGTGAATCAGAAAGGTCGCTGTTGACTGTGTTTCTTGGGAGTGAAATAATGGACATCATAAAGTCTGCCTCAAAACTTTTGTAGTGATCTACATACTTTATCAAAGTAAATAATTTGACAAACAACAAATACCCATGTCAAACTGGAGACTATGTTTTCAGAGAAAATTTTCTAAGGATAAATAAATTTGATATTGGGATTATCTGTTTTGTTGGCTCATTTTTAATATTTCCTGACATGCTAAGATTTTCTCAAAAAACATTGCTTTGTCACATGAGTACATTACCTCAATTTTTGCCCAGGATTTTTACACTGATCTTCAAGGTTCTGGTCTTCCTGTTTTTTTCCTAAAATACAGACCCAGAGATATAGTCCTGAATTATTACCATTACGAAACATGATTAGATTCCTTGTTCATGTTACATTGTGAACATGCCTGATTTTTTTCTTTTTTTGAAACAGAGTCTCACTATGTCACCCTTGATAGCATGCTGTGGCATCATAGCTCACAGCAGCCTCAAACTCTTGGGTTTAAGTGATTTTCTTGATCCTCCAAGTAACTGGGATTACAGGTATCCACCACAACGCCCAGCTATTTTTTGTTACAGTTGTCATTGTTGTTTTAACTGGCCTGGGCCAGGTTCTAATCCACCAGCCTTGGTGTATGTGGCTGGTGCCATAACCACTGTGCTATGGGTGCCAAGCTTACATGCCTGATTTAGACACCATTTGTCCATTTTCCAAATCTCTGAATAGCACTTACAGCAAGAGACACTTGTCTAATTCACTGAGTGATGAAATGTTGTCACTTTTACCTATAATGGCCAGGTTGTTCAAGGTTTCCCACATTACATCTCTGTAGAGGTTCTTCTGGGAAGGATCCAGCAAAGCCCACTCCTCCAGGGTGAAGTTCACAGCCACATCCTCAAAGGTCGCTGAGTCCTGAAATATCCCACATGTGTAGAGGAAGATAGGTAAGACTTATATCCCTGGAGACCTAGGCTTTCTTTTTTTTCTTTTTTTTTTTTTTTAAGAGATAGAGTTTCACCTTGTCACCCTCAGTAGACTGCTATGGCATCACCGCTCACAGCATCCTCCAGCTCTTGGGCTTAGGCAATTCTCTTGCCTTAGCCTCCCAAGTAGCTGGGACTACAGGTGCCTGCCACAACTTCTGGGTTTTATTTGTTTGTTTGTTTACAGTTTGGCCGAGGCAAGGTTTGAACCCACCACTCTTGGTATGTGGGGACAGCGCCCTACTCACTGAGCCACGGGTGCAACCTGAGGTACCTAGGCTTTCTTGCTAAGAAGTTTATATGACTGTAGACTCCTAACATTTGTTTCATGACTTTGTCATCAGACTTTTACTCTCTGTCACTTCCTCCCACAATGTATTCTGATGGTAGAATGGAACTACTAGGTAAAGCAAGGGCAGAATAGGAAAGCATATCATGTAGGTGAATCCAGGGAGAAATATATCTTGCCTTGGTCACCCTTAATATCTCTTTGTACATTGGGTCTGTAGCACCTGCCATACCAAAGTCCTACTTAATGCAGAACAGCATTCGCATTATCACTAATGAGACTGCACATCCTCAAATATGGCTGTAAAGACAGTATAACCTTTGGGCAGCACCTATGGCTCAGTGGGTAGGGCGCCAGCCCCATATACCAAGGGTGGCGGGTTCAAACCTGGCCCCAGCCAAACTACAACAAAAAAATCACTGGGCATTGTGGTGGGTACCTGTGGTCCCCAGCTACTTGGGAGGCTGAGGCAAAAGAGTCGCTTAGGCCCAGGAGTTGGAGGTTGCTGTGATCTGTGTGACACCATGGCACTCTATCTACTGTGATAAAGTGAGACTTTGTCCCTACAAATAAATAAATAAATAAAGATTTTTTAAAAGGAAAGAAAAGAAAGTATAACCTTTGATGGCATTTTGGAGGAATTGAGGTAAAAATTCCAGAAGGCCAGTCCTAACAGAAAAGGAAATGTGATTTATCAAAATTAACATTTATGCCTCAAAGGACATTAACAGATGGAGAAGGCAATCCATGAAACTGGAGAAAATATTGGCAAATCACACGTCTGGCAAAAACTTAATATTAGACTTCCTAAATGTCAACTACAAAAAAAAATGCCTTAAATAATGTTTTAGTGAGAGTATTGATAAGTTACAACCCATGTCACCGTACGATGGAAAGTAAAATGGCTCCCTCCTATGGTGGGCTCCTCAAAAACTAAACATAGCACAGGCATGGTGGCTCATGCCTAAAATCCTAGGAGTTTGGAAAACAGTGGTTCACAACTGTTATCCCGGCCCTCTGGGAGGCTGAGGTGGGCGGATCACTTAAGCTCAGGAGTTCGAGACCAGCCTGAGCAAGAGCAAGACCTTGTCTGTACTAAAAATAGAAAAATTAGCTGGGCATTGTGACATGTGCCTGTAGTCCCAGCTACTCAGGAGGCTGAGGCAAGAGGATCACTTGAGTCCTAGAGTTTG